CTGGTCAAACAACATGCCGCTTGGCAAATGCCCTATCCAAATCCTTCATGTTCATATAGGTCTGCAGAGAAACTTTAGACATTCCCTAGCTCAGTGAGCTACATGATTATTTGAAATGTTCACAGGTGGGATATTTAGAACAGAAGAACCTTATATCAGAAACACTGAGGCAAAGCCAATTAACTAGCTTCTTCTGACTTGCTCATCGAGTCCATAGATAATACATGACAGCACCAATGTATTTTCTTAACGTAAACGTGAATTGTGTTATATTTGCCTAATCCAGCACTGCCGTCAAGTCTCTCATTGTTCCAGCCGAGAACCAGACCTAGGCCCTTCCCACCAAAGAAGCACAACTGACCTACGAAGATGGGTAGTCTTAACTTCAAGCAGTGCTGCTTAGATGATTGGAAGGGATAAGGCCAAGTTCTAGACCCAAACAACCCATTAAGGGTGCATGCACACCTGCCAATGCACTGGACACCCATTACACACAGGAACCACACACTGCAGGCTCCCGCCGCTAATCACAGCCACATGCATGTAATTGCTTATACAGCAATCACACTAGTGATCTGCCCTGGATGTAATCGGTGTTGGGTGCATTTGCAGATATGAATGTTCCCTAAGCACAATTCTGAAAACCTGGGCACTCCACGTACTTACCCCGAGAAGGACCAGACTTGCATGCACCTATGTGCCAACAGCACTGGTTTAGCCAAGCATATCACTTCAGTTTTGGTGACCGTAATAGCAGCATTACATTAAGGGCCAATTCACACAGACTTGCACTAAAATGTATGAAAAATGGATGTACATTTCTATCCATTTTGGTCGTGCGCAGAAGCCAGTCGACATACATTTTAGCACGTGCTAAAGTGTACTGCATTTTCTCAGGAAATCCTGTGCATTAAGTTGACATCTGCTTATATACGTTACAATAAAATGCATACGTTGTATTTTTATTGTTACGATGTGAACAGGACACATTCGGATGCCCTTTTGTTAATCTGCGTTTTACAGCTGCGCTAAAAAACACAGATCAATGCACTGGTGTTAATGGTCCTTAAATGATAACCCAAGTCAAAATGTTATTGTTTACTGTTGAATCATGTCAGAAGGATTAGACCATTCATAAGATTTTTCCTTTGAAACATGTCCCTGCTGAAGAGTTCCCCTCACTTTTATTCTTCAGGATCATTGTCTTTTGGACAAGTGAGGGAAATGTTCAATGGAGACACAAGACAGCAATAATCGCATGGGAGGTTCTATCCTTCCCACATGCTATGCAAGACAAAAAAAAACAGACTGGAACTGCACTTTAAAGTTCGCAATTTCAGAACTTATGACAATTAACAGTAATTTACCACCGATTTATGGTTTTCAGCAACTTGTACGGACAATAAAGCAATTCCTTTACTGAGGAGTAATATGAACCTTGCTTTCCATACCTTGTTATGGGTATGTGCTAGGGATAGCAATAACCATTAGATTCTAAATCCCAAAAAATCATCTTCCTGGCTTGGGCAAACTTGCAGGCACACCAATTTTAAGTGTTGTAAACAGCTTCCATCTCTGGTTATTGGCCCACCTATGAAGACCTACAGTGTCACATCTTTAGAACTGATGCTCAAAGCAGGACAATGACTAATATATCGTTTTGTGCTTGGTAATCCTTAGAAATTGCTTACATGGTTGTAAAAAGTAAAAAGCACAGGCAGTCACACATTGACATCAGGGATGTGCAATTCCTATCGCCCAACAGATGTAGTTCCGGGCGCTGGGCAGGTATTTTTTTCTTTTCTGCCTTCAGCCCTGCTGCGGGCAAGCTGTAGGGCTCACCTGTCAAGTGAAAACATTTGGGCCGCCCAATTGTTTCCACACAGCCCCCCCCGCCTGCTATATGTCCCAGGCTACGCTTGCCCATCTGTGAGCCCGGGACTGGCTCAGTGTGCACCAGCAGGGAGGGAGGATAGCGGACATATCCACTCCTCCTCCTGACCTAGAAGTGATGTTACATCACTTCCGGGTCCCCGGTTGACCCGATCATCGAGGCCGGGAAAGCACGTAACGCGGTGCGATGTGCATGGTATTACATTCAGTGGAGCACAGGGGAGACATCCAGGGTCTCCCAGGGTTTTTTTGGATGTCTCAAAAAAAAAAAAAAAACAAAAAAAAAAACCTGTCACCAAAACAATTATCACATAGGGGACTTTTTGTCCCCTATGTGATAAAAAGTAAAATTTTTAATTTTTTTTTTTTTTTTAAATGGAAGATACACCCAACCATATAACCCCCCTCCCCCAAACGTCCATTCCGATACAAGTTACATATCGCTGTGCACACCAGAGTGAGAGCAATAATTCTAGCACCAGACCTCCTCTGTAACACTAAACTGATGACCTATAAAGGGTTTAAAAGGGTAGTCTATAGAAAATATATGGTAATAATGTTTGTTGCCATTTCACGAGTGCACGCAAATTTAAGGTTTGACATGTTGGAAATCTATTTACTTGATGCAACCTCTTATATTTTACAAAAAAAATAAAAAATTGGAACTACCTCTATTTTATTCTCTAGGATCTCTGATTTCAGAAAATAGATAATGTTAGGGGGTGTTGTGTCATCTTCAGGCCTTAAATGATTTTCTTCAACTTTTGAAAATAATGCAAAAACAGCTCTGGCGGTGAAATGGATAAAGGATAAATCCAACACTCCCCTTTCCTAAGGAGCAGCCAATCAGTGCTCATTACACTGCACTGCCTTCTCCCCTTCCTGCTAGTCCCCGGGTGCAGTGCTAGAGAGCGGCAAGGAGGGGAGGAGATAAACAGAGCAATGTTAAAAAAATTAAACATTTAAGTTACCATAAAACCCTGGTTTTAAAAGCCCCAGACAATACTTAAAGCAGATTTAAATACGGTTTTGGTTAAAATGTATGTTTCTTTTTTTTTATCAGGACCAGTAAATTGGGACACCGATTTAGTCCTTGGACTAGTTTTTTTTTTTTTAAAAAAACATTTCCACACCCCTGGACATATAGGCTACCTGTTGACAACTTTAAGGTCCATACACATAAGAAAACCATTCAAAAAATGTCAAAGATGAGCAACTGTACGATAATCTGATCGTTAGTATACATTTCTTGTATGATTTTCGTTTATTCATTACAGTAGTCGTCCGAAAAATACAATACATGAGATCAGTTCCCAAATTATATTCTGTCATATGATAATTTTTGTAAGTAACCTTTTCATTTTTAATATGGAGACTAGCATGCAAAAAAAAAAAAAAAAAAAAAGGACTCGTCCTATACTCTCCTCGTGTGTACTAGGTATCATTGGGGCTAGGTTCACATCTGTGCGGGTGGTTCCTGCTGTGGGTCCGCACCTTTTCCCACAGTTGCAACCACCAGTTTAGAAAAACGCAGCCATTAATCTTAATGGCACACGTTTCAGAAGGCATGGCAACTCAATCAAATGAATGGGCTGCTGTGCCCACACGGAAAAAAAAAAAAAAAAAAGTGTCCGGAATTGCCACATCGATGTGAACATAGCCTTAAACTGATCTACGCCAGTAAAATTTTGTTTAAAAGTTTTTCATGACACTTCTAATAGCTAATGGGGTGAAAACATTGTAGTGATGAGGAAAGTGAATTTTTTTTTTCGAGTTTGACCATCCATGAGGGTTGTTTGTGAAAAAAAAAAATGTACTTATTGCAAATGTGCATGGGCAGCCCAAAATCTTTGTAGAATTCAAACATTGGCATGGCAACCAATCAAAAGGTTTCAGGATTTTCATATGAAATCTTTCTAAAGTCCATAATGGTACTATTGAATGCTCTGACAAATGTTTTCTGAATTTATGTGCAAACCTTCAAACAAAATTCTACCAGTGTATGGCCAGCTTAGAAATCATTAAAGTATACCCAATCCAAATGTGTATTTTATTGTAAATCTTGGTATGCTTTATTCTCTTTATATCTAGTAGTATTCCAGTAGGAAACTGCCTCTGTGCAGAAGTTTCATATAATAAAGACTGGGCACTGCTGTTCTCTCCTAGTTCAGGGTAACGGTCTTGTCTCCTCCCCTCCTATAGTTTTCTGTAGGTATCCTGTACTGAGAGGACATTCTGGGTCCCTTGCGCAGCTCTTATCTCTGTACGGGTTATGTGCAGCAAAATGATGCTGCCATTGTTACTTTTACAAGGTAAAATCTGGGTTTGCAGAGCTATTTGTTGCCGTGTTTCTTTTTCCTTTGTGGCTGATGAGCCAGTGAGCAACAGAGCGAGCTGGAGGGGCAGAGGAGAGAGTGGCGATTGACAGTCACTGCTCTCTGCTCAGAGCTGATAGAGAACTGAGCAATCAGCGGCCATGTGATTGCTCTCCTCTCAAGTCTTGGAGTCAGCAATGGACAACTGCAACATCACAGCAATGCTGCAACCATAGAGGTGAGCAGGTTTATTTTTTTTTTATTCCAATACTTATCCTTTAGTAAACCACTGAAGAAAGGATTTTTGAGGCAGGCCCAAGTAACCATGTAGTTTCAGGGGTGCATACCACGTTACACATTCTAAATGAAGGCAGTAAAACAGGGTGGTGCATACAACACATATACTTTATGGAACAGTGCTACAAGTGTACTTATACTTTAAAAAAAAAAAATCCCATTTCATTGTTATACTGCCATAGCATAGTACTAAGAAAAAAAAAAGGTATTGCAAAAGCCAAGATCAAAAATATCAACATGTAAAATGAGTATGACAGGAACCCAGTGGTCGTAAAAAAACAAAAAAAAACACTGCATGGTAAAAACCCCTTCACTGTTAGAGTTCTGTCGCAGAGCAAAGCAATTTAGACACCTCAAGCACTGAAGGGGGAGGGCATCAAAATTATACCTGCAGTTCCCATGTTTTGGAAACCACAAAAAGTTGCTAATTTAGGCAGAATCCAATGGAGAAAATAAATCTAAAATAGAAGTGTTTTTGCAAGAACCAAGTCTTACCTGAAATGTAAATTTCATCTAGTTTTTCAGCAACTTTCTGTGGTAAACCAGCATCGAGCAAAGTCTGCAAATGCTCTGATGGGACAACTGCAGCATAAGTATCCATGGACTCTTCTGTACCATTTCCATTTACATGTTCAGCGGCCATATCTCCAGATATCTGTACAAATGCAATAATCAGCATCAGTAACCGATGGCTATAAATCTAATTGTGCATGCACAAACTAGGCACATTTCATCCCCGAACCACAAGGAAAGCAAAAGAAAGCATTCAGATTTGCAGTGTGTCTGACATTAAGTGGTAAACTGATCACCAATGAGAAAAGTCAGACCTACAGTATCTACACCCAAGCCGGGAAAGTTGTTTCTCATACGACTGCTATTGCAGAACAGCAAATGAATTTGTGTTACAATCACCATCTAAAAAAAGGACATAGTATGAACCAAAAAACGTAAAAGAACCAGAAGAAAACTGCCCTAGACGAAAAAAAAATCCACAATGAATGCTATAAAGTAATAAAACATCTGAAGAATAAAAAGGTAAAGCCTACTGTTAGACTGATGTCAGATTATTCTGCTGCTATTTGTCGAAATGTGCCAGGATTGGCAAGAGACTGCCTTGTTTGTCCCTATAGAATTGTGCCGATCTTAAAGCCAGTCATACATGGATCGAAATTAGCCAGTTTATCAGAGACTGGTCGAATTTTGATCCATGCATGTGCAAGCTGGTTATAGTGAAGTTAATCAACAGACTGACTACTTCTGCACAACCAACCTATTGGGTTTTCCCAACCAATCAGTGACGCTGGCTATAGCTGGCAACACTAGTCACTGTATTCTAGAAGAGTGTGTGGGGGGAGTCTTTTCTCTGTCAGAATACAATAACTCAAGGGGGAGGAATTCCCCAATGTGTGTGGATGAGGAATCAGGTCATTATTTTTGGTTTAAAAAAAAAAAACAAACTGAAGCATGTAAGGGCTGCCTTGGCAATTGAGACCGAGCAGTGTTTAGGGCAGAGACATCTCACTGTGTCTGGCTATAGAAAGAAGTGTTCCACAGGAACAGACAAGCACAGCCCCAAAGATTCTGCCACTGGTGATTTGTCTCAAGCGGCAGATTAGCCAGACATTAGCCACCATACCCTACATCCAACTTTCCAAACACTCCCCTAGGCCTTTCCTGAGGAACCCAGGGAAAGCAGAGAACCCCAAAGTACTACTAGGAAACACTCCTGCAGGGCTAGAGGTGTCTTCTGGTGACACTTGTGATGCTCCCCTATTTCAGGATCCTACAGTTGAGCCCAGTGAGGTCATCGACAAGAGTGGACAAAAACAGGGATGCAAATCAAGCAAGTTTACACTTTTCTTAAAAAACAATTCCAATGCTTTTATTGAGCTTTTACTATTCAGGGCAGGGACTTGATAGGCAGATCTTGTATTTTCATGTAAGGTCTACTTTAAAAACTGGATCTGAAGAATTGGGTGAAACGAGACAGAGCAGTTTTAGCAAAATTTGGTTAGGACTCCTCATTACTATATAAGCTGCTGTTTGCCATCTACTTAACTAATGCTAAGGAAACGAAGGTTTCAGCGTTTAGAGCTTCAGCTTTCCTTTTTCTCCCAATCTGTAACCTCTTTTAGACTAGCCTTTCTCAGCAGCCTTTTCACTCTCAAAGACCCTTAATAATGTTTTAGTAATCTGGGAAATTATGCTACAAAACTAGATCTACAGCTCACAGTAAACCAGCATGATTGGTAAGTTGTAGAAAGTTTTAAATAAAAGAATGCAACATCCTGAATATTTGACATCCAGAGAGGATTTTTTAACATCTCCCAGTTTCATATGAATCTTGATTAAGAAAAAAAAAAAAAAATATGAATGGCCAAATATACAAATAGTGAAAATTGTGACTTCATTGCACTCATTCACGGGGTGAATTTGATTTTGGTCCCTTGCGCCTGTGTCAAAATTGGAGCTGCAGGCAAGTGTATACACCCACTCTACCTCCATTGACATACAGGCTACCTGTTGACAACACCCAACAGCTTTTTGCACTGTACAGACCAATTAACCCATTCACTTGGGACGCAGACAAGCATCTTCCAGGCAGGGCAGTCTTTGGGCACAAGGACATACAGCTGTTGCGTACATCCCATTCATTTCTACTGGACACGTGACTGCATGGGCAAAGCTACTCTGTTGTAACATAACGTGGGTAAATACAGGTCTCCTAAAGATGGCTATACATTTTTCTCAATTTCCTTTAAATTTACCTTCAACCGTGTAGTCCAAGAGCCTGCCTGATTGCATACAAATAAGAGTGTTTAAGCCTGAGCTCATTATATGCTTTTAGTAAATCTAAAAAAAAAAAAATATGTATGGGCAGCTTTTGGGAACCCGTACCTAACCCACATTATATTGGGACACAGATGCTGTGTGTATGCAGTCACGTGTCCAGTAAAATGAATGGGGTGCTGACATGAGATGCAGGCAAAAGCTGTGCTTGCCCATGCCAAAAGACTGCCCTGAACAGGAGACGCATGTCTGTGCCCTGTGTGGACGGGCTAATTTGTCCATGCAGTGCAAGGAGCTGCACCCACACCCCTGCATGACATGTTAGGACACATAGGCTCTGCCTATGTAGGCACATGTCGAGTAAAATGAAAGGTATGCATGCAACAGCCCTGCATAGGAGACATACGTCTGTGCCCCATATAAATGGGCTAATTGGTCCATATAGTGCAAGGAGCTGCACTCACACAGCAACCGTGCCCATGCAATTTCCTCTCCCTTTAAAATGAATGGGATGTGGCGCAGGACCATGCCAAAAGACTGCCCTGCATGGAAGATGCATGGCTGTAAAGTGCAAGGAGCTGAACTAACACACCTGCATGCCATATTGGGGTACAGCGGCTGTGCCCTTGCAGTCTTGTGTCCAGTAAAAATGAATGGGACGCCAGCACGGGATGCACGCGGCATCTGTGTGCCTGTGTGAAAAAAAAATGCCATGCATGTGAGATGCATGTCTGCACAACCTGTGAATGGGTTAATCAGTCTGCACAGTGCAAGCAGGTGCACACCTGCATGACATTAGGACAGAGGCTGTGCCTATGCAGTCATGTGTTCACTAGAAATGAATGGGACGCTGGCACAGGATAAACAGAAGATCTGTGCGTACCAATGTCAAAAGACTGCCCTGCACGGAAGATGCATGTCTGTGCCCCGTGAGAATGGGCTAATTGATCTGTAAAGTGCATGGATCTGCACACACACACACCTGCACCACATATTAGGACACAGGCTGTGTGCCTATCCAGTCATGTGTCCACTAGAAATGAATGGGAATGGCAAGGATGAATGCAAGATGCATGCTTACCCATGCCAAAAGACTGCCCTGCATGGGAGATGCATGTCTGCACACCATGTGAAGGAGCTAATTGATCTGTAAAGTGCAAGGATCTGTACAACCCTGCATGACATATTAGGACAGAGGATGTGCCTATGCAGTCACGTGCCCACTAAAAATGAATGGGACGCTGGCACAGGATGAATGCAAGATGCATGCTTACCCATGCCGAAAGACTGCCCTGCATGGGAGATGCATGTCTGTGCCACGTGTGAAGGGGTTACTAGCTCTGTAAAGTGCAAGGATCTGCACCCACACACCTGCATGACATATCAGGACACAGAGGCTGTGCCTATGCAGTCACGTGCCCACTAGAGATGAATGGGACGCTGGCACAGGATGCACACAAGAGCAGCATGTACCCGTGCTGAAAGACTGCCCTGCATGTCTGCGCTCCATGTGAAGGGGCCAATTGCTCTGTAAAGTGCAAGGATCTGCACCCACACACCTACCTGACATGTTAGAACACAGTGGCTGGGACTCCCTCTATTAATATACAGGATTTCTAGTTTAGGCAGCACTTTACAACAGAAATAAATAGGATGCATGCAATAGCCTGGTAAATGACGGCCCTGCACAGGAGACACGTCTGCACCCTGTGCGAAGGAGCCTCACATGGGTGCTCAGTAAAAAGAAGAGCGACTCCTTCCATTTGCAATAGTTGAAGTGACGACCATTCAATGAAAAATGACCGACATACATTACAGGGCAGGGGACCCTGGCTAGCAATGGCTGATCTAGGTGCCACATATCTAACATGCTTCCAGTAGGTGGTCAGTGAGAGGAATTTATTGAGCCTGGAGCAGCTGTGCATGACAGCCAATCAGCTTCTAGGTTTTAGTCTCAAAGCTAGACTGAACAAGCTGAAGCTAGATGCGGATTGGTCCTCACACTCCCGTCTATTAGTTTTCTCTCTCCCTCCATTGTGATCGATCTGTAGAGTAGAGGTGGTCCTGGTCTTTTGGTTCATACTACTAGTCCCGATCGTCCAGGAAAGCCATGCAGCATGGAAGGCTCGCCGCCCAGGACGGCCCTGTATGTGTGTGTAGGCCCATCAGCGCCCTGTGTTCGTGTTCCCGCCCGCATGGCCGAGCGATGCTCCCGGGAACAAAGCGCCTGTTCCTTCTCCCCACCCCAGGCCGATGGTAGGCCGGAGCCCTCTGCAGACACGTGCTCTCCTCCCTCTACAATGCCAGGCAGCACACGCTCGCCTCCACTCCCGCACAATGCAGCGCCCAGAACAATGGCAGCACAGCACGCCGTCACCCCCCCCGATCAATGCCACCGTCTGACCGGTCTCCAATGACAAGCACACAGCCTCCGCACAGAGCTCGCTTCCATCCACCGACCGGGCGAGGCGGCGTGTCTTCCCCGGGCAGGCCCAGCACACCACAGCCAGCAGCCTCGCCTACACAGGCGCCATGCTTCCAGGCCGGAGCGCCCCCCCACCTCAGTCCTCTTCCCCCTATAGGATGCAGCGTAGCCGGTGCCCGGGCCGACACGTTCCGCGGCTGCTGCTCCCCCGGCCTCCCCGCCCCTCGCACAAGGCAGCCGCGGCCAACGTGCTCCTCGCTGGAATCCATTTTCCATAGGCGCCGGGTTCACAGCGAGCAGAACGGAGACAGGCGCTCACTTACCTGTCCCGGTCCGGGCGGGTGCTGGCTCTATCCGGGCTGCCTGCTCTGCTCTCGGGTGTCACG